TCTTCGAGAAGCGCGGGTAACATTTTCTAAGAAACGTGCATAAGTGTCTTCTGTTAAGCGCGGCAAGAGAAAATACGGACCAATCTGAAAATTATCAAGCGAGTAATTAAAAACTGCGTGCGAGAGAGAGAAAGAGAGAGAGAAAGAAAATTTTTTACTTTATAAATTTATTTACGATTCGATTCACTTCTATTCCTGCCCATATATTAATAGAACAACGATACTGGCGCCTTGGCGAATGGCGTGCGAATTCTCGTCTCGTCATAATAAAAAATTACAAGTTAAATACGCCGTTCGATGTGAAGATCGCTTCGTCCGTCCATAGGATGCGGTTGGAAAAAAAAAAGTATTCCGCTGACACTATCCTACGTGTCGCGAGCAATTCTACGTGTTTTGCTGATAATTATAATATTTATTAAAAATAGCGCTAACATATTAAATGAAAATAATAAAAATACTTTCACAAAAATAGACGCGCTGCGACTTTAACTTCCATAAGAAGTTGCTACACTTGTTGAAAATGATACGGGTGTAATCTGTTTTGATGAAGAATACAATGCACCATGTATTGGGATAAAGCGAGTGCACAAACCACACGGCGCACGCTGTTCATTGAATTTTCCTCGAACGCGCTCAGGATTCTCTCCTCATCATTCACATAAATATGTCTTCGTCCATCAACGTACAATCGACAACATTGATCCCGTTTTTCCCGCACACGTTTATGTTGTTATCATTGATACTCATTGGCGCTTTTCGGAACACCTTAACAATGTGGCGGTCAGGGTGGAGAGATTTCTTGATGCTCTTAATGCTTTGATACCTAATTTGCGTGGCCCCTCGAGTGCGAAGCGTATGCTATATGCGAGCGTCATACATTCTGTTTTGCTCTATGCGGCCCCTGTGTGGGCGAAAAATCAGGTTTTTACCAATCGTAACATGCGTTTGGTGCTTCGGGTGCAGCATCGGGTGGCAATCCGAGTTATCTCGGCGTATTGTCTCGTACATTGCGGCTACATTGCTCGCTAGGATCCCTCCGTTTCGATTCATTGCAGAGAACAGACTGTATGTTTTCAATACTATCTAGCAGATTGAGCGGAGAAACAATTGTAGAATCTCGAATAGAGCTCGCGCGGCCATAAAGGATAAGGGCAACGAGATAATGCTCAATATGTGGAAGGCACACATCGAGGGGTTGGGCCCTGATGATCCGGCTCAACGTGTTAGGGTCATGATACTTCCCCATTTTACCGATGGATGACGCGAGGCTTCGGGAACCTCACGTACAGGATGACTCAGCTCTTTACTGGCCACGGATGCTTTAGCGTTTACCTCAAACGGATCGGGAGGTACTACTCCGATGGATGCGAACACTGCGAGCGTGGTAGAGATGATGCGTCCCATATCCTGTCGGATTGCGACGCCTGGTCTTTCTGGCGGGACGACCTGGCGCTGATAGTGGAGAACACTCTTAGGGATGATACGCTGGTCCCCATTTTGTTTTCTGGCGAGGAGAATTGGGGGGTAGTTTCCTCCTTCTCAGAAGAGATTATGTGTATTAAGGAGGATGCAGAGAGGAGGAGACAGTTGGCGGTGGAGGATCCGACTAAATAGCGTCGCGTCCTTTGACGTGTCGGTCTCCTGTTTGGGGGAGTAATGGGATCGGTCTCCCGCGGCTGATCGCATTCTCCTTTCATTGGGCACATCTCGCGTTGCGTCCTTGCTCGTCCTCGTTGTCCTGATTGGCGCGTGCCTCTGTGCGTGCTGATCCGGTACTAACCGTCCTCGTCATCTGCTAACTCTAGAAGTCGTCAGTGTTAATTAATTATTTGTTTAATTCGTTAATTTAATATCTATGATGTTGGTGGTTGGTGTGTGTTGTGGTTCATTTCCTTATAAGCGTGGTGTGGATGCCGGGAGATGTGGGTGGGGAGCCCTCTTTTTCTTCTCCTGCCGGCGCTTCTCGTGACGTCCTATAATAGAGACCCATTCGGTAAGCCTAATTGTGTTTTTGTCAGCCGTGCATGTAGTTACTGTTCTTCAGTTATGACTGGGGCAACCTTGAAGTTGTGCCCTCCGGCGTTCCGAGGTTGTTTCCCTTTAATGGTGTCATGTGTATGTAAGGAGGGGTTTTAGTGGATATTTTCGCATAACGGATGAGTCCCACACTATCTAGGGGGAACGGTTGCTCTCTAAGTGTGCGTAATGCATTTCTCCTGCCTTTGATCAAAAAAAAAAAAGATCGCGGAGACATGTGCGCGTAAGAATCCTGCTCACACGCGCATGCATACATGGATAACGCCGGCGGTACTATAACCTTCAAGCTCCATAACTCGGAAAGTATTCAATGAAACGTAACTTTATTATAGTGTTTTGGAAAGCTCTCGAGATAAGCTACAAGAATATGTAATAAAAATAGAGATTTTAAAAAATAGAGGTTAATAAAAATAGAGGTTTTTAACTTAAAAAAACATTAATGACGTAATTTTGACCTGATTTTGACAAGGTCACTCAAGGTCAAGTCCACATTTCCATCATGTGTCCCCCTTCAAGCCATGCAACTTTCGTTCAAAAATTTTTTCAATAAAATCATCGATTCGCGAGATAATCGATCATATTACTTAAAATGAAACACCCTGCGTATATAGATTAATTTTGTAACTAACAAATCAATATTAACTTTTTAGTGTATAGTTTTATAATATACATTATTTAATTAATATAATTTATAATGATATTCTTCATCATTATGCGTTGTGTATTTAACTATTTTTCAAAGTATTTCCGATAAGCTAAATCCATGTATTATGGACAAATTGTTATACAACCCTTCATATTATTTCCTTTAGTATTCCTCAATTTAATATTCAAATCTCATATAGTTTTTTTTTATAATTAAATAATGATTAAAGAATATTAAAGAGCTTGTGTGATAAAATAAATTTATTTTAAGACTGTCTTAACAAATTTTATAAATTCTCTGGAATTTTGATTAAAATTCTTGGAAATTCGCGAATTCTCAAGGAATTTATTTACAAAATTTGAGTTTACATCCTGTACAACAATTTATCTACAATACATAGCTTTAGCTTATCAGAGGTACAGATTTTGAAAAATGATTAAATAAATACACAATACGCATAATACACAATACGCACAATACGCATATTGATAAAGAATATTAATATAAATTATATTAAATAATATATATTATGGAATTATACTTAAATGTTAATATTGATTTATTACACTGAGAAAAAAATTTATTATTAGGTGTACAAAAAAGTTCTGAGCTTTAGATTTCATACAACCGAAATAACAATTTAAATTTTATATATCTTCCCTTTTGCGGTTTTAAAGCGTTGACATTTGGCCTTCTAAAATGCCATACGGTTTGGCGTTTGATGCATATAACCTCACAAATCAGTAGTGTTCATGACGGCAATAACAAAAGAGCATATTCGATTTTCCATCCACTTCGCGTTTCATCTGAAGAAAAATGCTGCTGAAGCCACTGCAATGATTTGTGTTGCATATGGAGAGAACGCTGTAAGTCATACTATATGTAAAAAATGGTATCAAAAATTTCGCTAAGGAAATTTCAGTCTTGAAGATGAACCGCGTGCTGGACTCCTTCAAAAGATTGAAACAGACGAATTGCAAGCACTGCTGGATATAAACTCTGCGCAAACTGAAAAGGAGCTTGCAGAACAGCTTGGCGTTACGCAGCAAACCATTTCCGTACGTTTACATACGA